CCTCATTTCACCTTAAACCATTTGACATGGCTTCTTTCTTTCCATCCTCAACCTTGATCATAGTGGACGCATTTTCCCACGTTTTGTAGGTTTTATCTACTAATTTATGAATTATATTTAGCACTTAAGACTATGATATTCCATTTTAACAGGAATATAATCACCACATACAAATTGTAATCCCGTACGGGCTTGAAATATCAATAAACTTGATAAAGTTATTAAGAAAGCAGATTTGAAGCACTCGTACTCGATTACTCGATTTATATCATTTCGTTTAGAGGAAAGTAGACTTTATGTCGAGGTCTAGCGTCACAAGTCGACAAATGTCTTTCTAATTACTAATTGAAATTGTATCGAGGCGTTTTTTTTTTTGTGTTTGCCTCTCTGTCGTCTTTTTAAAAGCTGAATTTCAATTGCTCATTTTGTAATCGTTCGCTTTTTTGCAGCTAATTTTAAATTTCTTTATAATTGCTTGAAACTTATGTGCACATTTACGTGACCTTATGTACTAAATTGTATACTGTTTTAATGATAGACTTATTTTTCAATAGAAAAATATGAAATGAAAATTTTCATTTAATCATACATTTGCGGTGAGCATTATGCTTTCTCGAAATCCCGGTCCCGACAAATTTTCGGGATCGGGATCGGGATTGAAATTTTTCGGGATTTCCCGGGAAATCCCGGGAATCCCGAATATGTAAAAAAATTTAAAAAACAGCATTTTTCTGCTTTTTTTCCCAAAAAAAATTATATATTTTTTTGCTACTTATACGGTCATTTATTCCTTAATTAATTAGTTATACTTTATGTGTTACAAGGTAGATGTTTTAATCCATGTTTCCTTTGAAAAATGTGAACATAAACAAAAATAGAAAATAAATGTTGATAAAGATGTAAGTTAAAAGGTTATAGAAAACGGTGTGAATATAATAATAAAAATTAAGCATTAATGAAAAAACTTTTAACAAATGCAATTGCATTTAGATTCTTGTCAAGTAAACGTTTTCTTTGTTTTGTAAGAATGTTGTTACTAATAGAGAAATTTCGTTCGCTTTGAGTTGAGGTCGGCTGCATTGTTATCAATGCATCGTAAAGTTGATCTAATAAAACGGTTCTCTTCTTATTTTTGTCATACCAATTAAACTCTCTTTTCAAGTTATTTGGTTCTGTTGCTGCTGCATCTGTTGTTAATGATGTATATTCAGATATGCTTAGTTTCAGTGTATCTCGAATAGAAATGTTTGACGGTTGGATTTGATTTGCACTGGATGTTGAAGCTTCCATAGCTCCATTTGTAGAGTTTTTGACAAAATACTTTTTCAATAAGTCAATGCCAAGTTTATGTATTGCAGCTTTTGTTGACGATTTAAAATGCTTGTCTAAAGAAATATATTGAGGTAAAGTATTAAGTCAATTAATGTTCCATTTCTTCGTGCACCTATGCGAGCGCAATTCATATCGTAAACCTTTTGAGACAATAATGTTCCTTGTAGCAACAATTCGTCTAGCAAAAAGTTAATTGTTCCTTCAGCAATTAATAAATCGTCTGATTTACGCAATAATTCTTCTGTCGCGTATTTAGCAGGTTCTAAAACATCAATAATTTCCTAAACAAAAAAACCGGGATTTTCAATCCCGATCCCGATAAATTTCGGGATCCCGGGATTGATCGGGATCGGTAAATCCCGGGAAATCCCGATCCCGATCCCGATAGCGAGAAAGCATAGTGAGCATGTAATAAAATTTTATGATACATGCATTGATAATTTTTATGGTTTTGGCTCATTTCGTGAGGCGTTAGGATTTGTTTATTGATGAATTTACTCTTTATGTGCTATAAATGTGTGCTTCTTGAAAAGATTACTAAGTAGTGTAGCGAGGGTCGATCCAAGGGGGGCTATTTAAACATCTTTTTGCAAAAAGGAAATTAGGAACCCAAGCTAATAAGACGCGTAACTATAAAAATGACGTCCGAAAAGAATTTAGATTTCAGACGTCAGAATCTTAGCCGCTACACGATATTATGCTCTATATTGATTTATGCCAGCTTCTGTTTAAAGTTACCCAATTATAATTCATTCTTACATCTTCATGACTTATTTATGACGATCGTCATTTACATAGACTGCGAAGGTTGTAGTGAAATTTGAACTAGTGTTAAGCAAGTCAAAAGTGAACGTCACTTCAGTCAATTATCTGTAATGTCAGGATTATTGTGCGAACCCATTTCATTAAGACAATACTCTACAACAGTAATAACCAACCCACGTGGCGAAAAATTGGAATCGATCGAACCGTATGACATGTGCAGCTTTGGTCATGGCTTACAATCAACAACAACTCAAGGGTGTGGAAATGAAAAATTACATTTTGATAATTTTTGATCAATTTTGATCATTTTTTGATCATTTTTGATAATTTTTTAGATCATTTTTGATCATTACATCAGTACCACACCCTTGCAACAACTGCTCTGAAATAATAAGGAACTGAAAAATTATTCGTTTTTATTATTTTTGAATAATTTTGTCCATTCGCGATTTTTTTGACCAGTTTAATACCAATGATAATCTTTGTAAGAGTTCAGAAACCTGAATTGGGTAGGAATCGAACTTAAGAACTCAAAGATTTTTGATATATCGCCATTCGTAACCATTCAGTCACAGATTCCTTCTCTTTGTTTTGACAGATTCATATTCACCTCCATATGACTCGATGCTTCAATTTAAAGAGCAAAGACACAATCTTAAAAGGTTCACAAAATCATTATTTATTTAAAAAAAAATTGTTGTTGTTTTTTAATGGTCCGAATTCAAATTATTATATCTGATGGTCCTTACTTCCCCTAGCTATATTTTTGACCAAATGCTACTTTGCCATGAAAAATTAATTCCAATATCAAGCGCCCAAAAAAATCAATTCAATTCCCTTATTTTTATCACAAAGTTAATAATTTCCAAATTTCATTTAATGTCTTAACATTTGTAATTTATTACAATTTTTTTTATCATCATTATGATTATTAATAATAAATTTTATAAAAAGCATTTCAAATTCATTCGATAAGAGCGGCAAAAAAGGAGGGACGAAAGAGAGCAATTGGCACAAGTGTACTTTTATCGATAATGTGCACTTGAGAACGAATAATTTAATATTTTTTTTCAGGCAATTATAATTGTGAGATTTTCTACGTGCACCACATGTGCAATCGTTAATAATAATAATATTAAATTGTGAGTAACTGCAAATAATGTGAAACGAATCGTAAATGGAAGTCAGTAGAAATTTTTTTCTCAATGCCTTTTTTTGGAATATAGCAATAAGCATAATAATACGCATAAATTACATAAAAATTATTTTTTCGTTACCGATTTCGAATAATTTATGTGCAATTGAATTGTCTGTGGAATTTCACGAATATTATTTGAACATCATCAACTTTAATTCATATCGAATCGCTAAAAGGAGTTATTAGGGAGGGAACGGCGATGAAATTATGAACAATTAAAATTGTTGATGAATTTTTTTTTCATACTTAATGGCTTATAATCCGAAGCTATTATGCATGTATCGAGATAATATTCACATTGTATACTTACAGCTATTGCGACCGCATATCTACATGCTACAATGTTAAAGATATCATATCAGTGAGACAGGTTTGGAAACTTTAATCTTTGGAAAGTTTAATGGTTTTTATGACTTTATCGTTAGTGATTAAGAATGTAAAATGCAGGGAAATTTAAGGAATTTATCGTCTCAATAAGCAAAGATGGGAATGTAATTATGAATATTAAATTGGATTTTTTTTCAGCTACCATTTAAAGTACTTTAATTTTAGCAGTTTTTTTTTGTTGGAAATCGCTTTAAGGGAAAGAGATTAACATTAATGCATAAAATTAATTTTTAATTCGTGAAAGTTTATTTGAGGATTTTTTTTTGGGTTAAGGTAAAATTGAATTGATTTTTTTATTTGTTGAATAAATTGATTATTCGATTTAGTTAAATATTGTATGAATCAAGCTATAATTCAGAGTTTGAAGTCGATTATCTCATTTGAATTGTCTTGATAACAGCCATGCTGGGACCCTCACTTGTTTTTTGTGGTCAACCCAGTCAATCAGCAGAGAGGTTTAAATACTAGAGACTAGATTAGTGTGACTGGTGCTAATCAGAGGCTTAATTTAGGTGTTTGGCACCCAAGAACGAGTTCATAGACTTCAAAAGGGATTTTTGGAAATTTTCATTGCTACATTAAGGCTAAGCTAACGGTTGCCCCATCTCTTGCTTACCCTCTGGTTTTAGTAACATCTTTTATAGCCTACGACTTAATTAGAGACAATTCTCGTCTCAATGCTATTTAAAACAATAAAAGCTTGGTCATGTGAAGAGAATGATTAGCTCAAAAACTCAAAAATTCTGCTGGCAAGCATAAAAATAAATACTTCAACCTAAGATTACAATATCGACGCTTGAGTCTTATTTCTCCTTCAAAATCCAGTGTCATTCTCGTTTAAAAAAATCCACAACATCCTAACCTCACCAACTTTCCTTCCCACACATCTCACATCATACCTAAAAGAACATTCATCCCTTGATTATAACTTAATAGCTCATGCAACAAAGTATTAAAGATAAGTGTAGCAATTTTTCTCTTATTAATAATCTCGTATCGTCTATTAAGTACCATAACATATGCAAAGTACATGCTCCATAATTGAATTGCGGTTCTGTAAATGTCAAGTAAAATGTCTTCAGTTAATTACGTTATTAACTTTCACATCCAATTTTGTAATTTTAGATAAGCATTTAGGATTTAATGAATAATTAATAATGTATTGAAATGGGATTAAATTCTGTTCATGTGCTTGTTTAGAGGATGAGATTGTGGCTTGAAGATGAGTGGAGTTTAAAATGATGAAATCGATTTTTGCGGTGGGAATTGAGTTATGAAGAATTAATTGTTTTTGAATATTTTAATTTCAAATCTCTATTTATTAATTTGAATCAATGAATTCTTAAACAAAATAATAAAAATGTAAAATTTACATCAAAAATAAGTCTTCAATTGGAACTTTTGTGAACACAGAATTGAAAGTTTTTTCATAATAGAATCCAAATTCATCACCAGCGTAAGATCTCATGCTGCTCTTCATTAAAAGATTGAAGCTTTTGTTTAACGACCATATTATAACTTTGCTTACTTCAGGTGCTTCAAAGTCTCCACTAAAGGAAAATATTTTATTTGCTTAAGACTGGACCATAGTAGAATCCAGTAGGTTTGTAAAGGCTACAAATCATTTATAAATGACACTAGCCACTGTTAAAACTAAAAAGTAACTAGACCAGTGATCAAAATGTCAACCAGAGATACTTACGTGTCCAAATCTGAGGAAATGTCTGTTTTAGTAACTCTAAAGTATTCCTTCCCATTTCGAGTGTAACGCTCAAGTTGGAATGTTAGTTTTACGATGAAATCATCTGATCAAATGAAGCTGATAAATGAATTTATTTACATATGAAATATTATAATGAAAACTCACAAAAGTTAAGAGTCAGTGGACCTTCATCATTAATATGAAAACCTAAAACTTTCGCATTTGCTTTATAAAATCCAGAAAGTGAAAATTTTGGCATTTTAAAATGAATTTCTAAAACATTTTTATCAAACCCTGAAAACTTTAGAAATGTTGAATCGTTGAATCCAAAAACTTTAATATCGTATATTGTTCCATCTGCTTGCAAAGCTCCAAAGTCATGCTTTATTCGAAATTTGCCAATCAAATATGGATTATGTTGTGGAAAATCAATCTCATTAATTCCTAAAATCAGAAAATTTATTAAATTAATGACTTTTATTATTATTATTATTATTATTTTTAAAGATTATATTAAAAATTGAAAGTCAATAACCTCCAGTATATTTGTTTATGACCTTATTTGATGAGTTGATGAGACATTCTTCATCATTCATTCTACATTTTTCAATATCATCAGCTGAAGAATTTCAAAATTAAATTTAAAATTTAATATAAACTTTAAAAGAACTCACGTAATGATAATATTATTTTAAAAACAGCAAAAAATAGAGCAACCTGAAAAAATATAAGCATCTTTAGAAACACTTGTAGCCTTAAAGAACTGTCATTTACAAATGATAAAAATTATTGTTTTTTTTATCAATATTTAAAAAATTAAAACACATGCGATCTTAAGATTATGTGTGATACAGCATTGGTTCTTAAACTTTGTTACGCGGCACACTAGTTTGAAAAATCAGTCTAATTAAAAAACTAAACCCCAGCTTCCTGGAATATGCAAGCATTCATGCAATTAATATAATTTTTAACAGCATCAATAATTCACAAAAATCATTGATTCAACTTACATCGCTCTCTGTAAAATCAATAAACTCATTTAAAATAATTAATTAACTCAATAAAATCTGTCAAAATCAACAAAAAGACCTTCACAGCCTCAAACCATTCAACTTCCCGTGCAAAAACTTTTTTGATATGCTTAATTAATTTACAAAAACTATCCAGCAACTTATTAATCAATTTTTTCAATTTCAGTTCCCTCACATAAATTTCTTTCCCAAGGTTCCAACTCAATTCAATCGATTCATAAAATTGACAATTTAAAATAAATGATTTCTCAATTCTTTTTCGTATATATTTTCTATTATTAACCTCTAGAAACATGTTTTATTTTATTTTGTGCAAAAAAAAAGAGTAATTGATGAAAATAACAAGTTTAAAACAAATTGATTTCAATTTATCATGAAATGTTCTTTCTGTTTCCATTTTCCATTTGTTAATTTAATGACTATAAACTTTTTTTTAAAAAAAAAATAAAAATATAAAATAACGAAAAGTATAGAGAAGGGAATGAAGGGAAGGTATATTTTTATTTATGCCAAAGAAAAAAGTTAATGACAGTCAAAGATACAGTTTATCATCATGCACATTGGCAATTTTGGAAAGAGAAAAGTTGCATTAAGGTGGTAATAAATTGCAGTTCTTTGAGGCGCATTGGATATGGCGTTGAGTATTAGTAAAGAAATTTACAAGCATTAAAATATCTTTAGTTATTTCTACAGCTCAAAGTCGAAGCGAGTTGACTCGAGTCGACTCAGTCATGAGTCGAGCTATCGACATCGAGCTCTAGTCATTTATTTTACAATAAAGAGATTGAAAATTTCAAAATGGCGGACTTTTTTCTCACCTCAAATTTTAATTCTCTATTTAAACAGCTATTTTGAGTCAAATAAGTTGGAATGTTATTTATTATTCTTTAAAAAAGTGGCAAGAGACAATCTTTAAACATTTGAGAATTCAGAAGCAGCCTAAACATCAATTAAATCAAGTTTTCTGTTAAAACTGAAATTCAAGATGGTGGAAACTCACAAACACGTGATTTGTTATCTTATTTGCATTGTTAAATTCACAAAATTTATGATTGCACAAATTGAGCTGTAAAATGTTCCTGATTAGCTTTTCTAAATTTACATGCATACAAAATGATCCCCAAAACCTCTTCCGTCCTCTAAAATCTAGTTAAAAAGTTACTTCAAACCCTTAAAAATCTACAATCAGAAAATTCTCATCATACCTTTTACTGTCGATTGCATGCCAAAAAAAAAGAGAGCGAAACGATAAATGCAAATTAATAGCAGATTTTTGCTGCTATTCGATTTTCATGTTGATGATGATGACTATCGTATTATTACATTTGCTACTCCCTGCCTTTGCTGCTGTCCATCATTATTCAGTTATACAAATTGCTCAGTTATACAAATTGCCTTCTCTCAATTTTCCTTCCATTTCACACATGCATATCAAATGCGGTTATCATCTGTCGCTGTTTTACGTGCAGTTCTTTCACTCCGTTTGATGGATGATGAAAAAAAATTCTTTAACAAAGAACAATTTTTTTGGATGTTGAAATTAGGTCATGTGAACATCCTCACAAAAAAAAATATTTAATAAGAATGAGGAATTTAGTAAATTGCTTATTGAAAACTGCTCATAAATTACTGGTTGAGTTTTTTTTCCTGTTGTTTAGTTTGACAGAAAATTATAACTGTCTAAACAACAACAACAAAAAAATAACTATAGAATAAGTGGATGGAAAAAATAAGTTGGAAACTAGTGTTGAAATTCTCACACATGAAATACCAATTAGTCGTATATTCTTATAATTTTAATTTACGTTGTTTGCTGGCGGCAAAATTAAATGTCATTAACTCTCAATTATAACTTTTTTTCATAATGATGTCAAACAAATTGATGTAAAGCATACGATTTTGGGTTGTACAGTTTTGAATTATATGTTTTTGGGGTTCTTTTAAGGCTAAGTTTTTTAATTGGCTGGATTGATGAGACTTTGTAAATGAATTCTGGGCACAGGTACAAAACTGATAAGTTACATTTTGATCAATTTTGCTCAATTTTGTCGATGATTTTTGATCTTTTTATCCGTACCACACCCTTGATTCTGGGTTTGTTACGCATACATTTTGTGAAAATTTTGGTGTTTACTAGGAATTGTTTACTAAGGGTTTATTTTTTAACGAAACGAATAATATTAACATAAAATATCTAAGACCCTTTTCACTCTTTCACAGCCGATCAACAACCGAGCTTCATAGCTAGAATGGTGATGCCACCTTTCCAAACCCTTAAACAATTCATGAACCAGTTTCTTTAGCTACTCAGGGCAACTTTAAAGTAGAAATAAAATTCGATGTACTTCCATGTAAGGTTCAAATTAAGTAAATCTGACAACAGGTTAGGTTGGCTTCTATAGCCTTTAAAACCAGCTTCTAGCTACAACATTGCGATTGAAAAATATTAGTCAAAGTAATAAGACCAGCAATCTCCAATCCTTATCAAAAATAAGTTTTAAATGAACGGATATTAAAATAAAATCAGTGTAAAGTCTCAAGTTCGAATCTTAAAATTTAACGTAACCATTTTTGAAAGTTTTAAAGTAACAATTTTTTTATTAAGTTCCTAGTCGATTTTATTAATTTTTTGCCAGCTCTTAATATTTTTCCACATTTAAAATGCAAATACAATATTCCCATTCAATAAATTTTCATCCACATTTCATCTATCCACAACATTAAAAATAAATAAACTCATTAAAAAAAGATTATAATGTTTTGTGTACATTCACTTAGAACGGTGAGTCTCCCTCGCTACAGCTCACATCATACACAACACTGCTAATTTCATTAAATTATTAATGAAAGAAAAACTTTCAAACATACTTATTACCATAAATATAGATCGTACAGTATTCCTAAGCAACAGCAAAAGTTAGGAAATGTTTCGATGTCTGTAAATGATGCCATTTGACGTAAAAATATATTTTTTATTATGAACATAAAAGTTGTTTGAAAATTCTTAATTCATCCCATGAGGATATTTTTGCATAGCACGGTAAAATATTATTCTTTTTTATCCTCTCGCTAGCAACTGATGCTGCACATTTCAACCGCAACGTGAATGAAGAGGAAAGAAAAATTTAATCCGATTTAAATGTTCCAGTTTTATTATTTCTGCTGGCACATCAAAACAAAAAAAAGTTCGTGTATTTATTATGTTCATCCCTTTCTCCTTCAATTCATTTCGTTCAGCCATGCATACTTATGAATTTATTTTTTTGTTCTTCTCTAAAATATCATCGTCATCATTATTATTTTTGTCGGAATCAAGAGGAAGTTTGGATGGCAAATGGGATAGTTTGGATGAGAAGCATTATTGGTTGTTCAGAATTTAGAAGATTGATTTTAAACAGAAGATTTTTGAAGACTTTGAGTTCAACTTAAAGCAGGCAATATTTTTAAATATTTGAAATATGAAGCAATTTTGCATCGAAGTTTCAATAGTGATCGTATTTTATCCATCACTATGGAAGTTGTAATGTAGAAAAAACATGCAAACAATGCAAATTAAGGGTTCAAATCCCAAAACTAGAAACGATTTAATTGCCTTACATAAGGCTTCGATATGTTGTTCATTAGTACGATTTTTTTTTTCTTAAAATAGCCTTAACAATTTTTTACATTATTTTTGATCCCACGAAAGCTCAGCATTTCTATTCTAAAACTTAGATAACCGACCACCCCCCCCCCCCCTCCCCCTATCCGGCACTTGTTTTTGCAATAAAAAAAATCTATAAATTCAACCCAAACCATCTCAATCTATCAACATTAATATTACAAAATTCATGCTAAAACTGCATGAGGAATTTCCTCAATTCAAGCTATTTGCAAAGAGATCAATTTCACCCCATTCGTTTGGCAATTATTAAATATTTCATGAGAAGTCTATGCATCTCACATACCGTAAAACTTAATTTCTGAATGTTCATCGGCAATGTTGAAAGCAGGCAAATCATCTCGAGCATAGCTTCAATTATGATTATTATAATGCTTTAAGATGATTCAAAAAAAAAAGAAGTTGTTGTGCATGTGATATGTTAATTATCGGTATGGCAACAACCCCTCACTGCATTAATAATCAGCATGACGTTCCAATAATCTTTAAAGTTCTTTGTGTTGGATTTCTACCCGTGAGGGGAAAATTGTAAAGCACTTAGAAAATTATTTCAAACATAATTCCAATGCATTAAGATATTTTTTTAAAGGAAAAAGAAGAATTATTTGTGTAGATGATGAGTGTGCTGATGCATGCAGTTGTATGGTAATGAGATATAATTTAAATATTATTAAAGTGATGAGATTTTTTTTTTCTTCTCGTTTGATGTAGCTTGTCTCATTATGCAGGACGTTCTTCATTTAATTCTTCTTTTTTTTTGAATGGTGTAAGTTTGATTGAGCACAGGGAAGAGTTCAAGAGGGGTTGTTGTTTGAGGCAGCAAATAAGCAGCAGTGGCGTTGTGGTTAGAGTGTTTGCCAACCAATCCTAACGACCCTAGTTCGATCCCAGGATATGTCTAGTTAAATAAGGTTGCTTTTTCGCTGTTCTAGTCATGATAACTTGATTTGTACGATTCGTGGGAATATTGATCTAATTTGATGTTTAGAGTACTCAAAAAATTAGCAAAATTCAACTAGTTATCCCAAAAATCATTCCTTTAATCGACATTATCAAAATAAATTTATAACCAATTAA